GAGTACGACTCGGACAAGCCTCAGGGCGCACTCTGAAGCTCCGGTCGTACTCGCTCCCATCCCGATAGTCGTTCTAGGGGCAGGGCGTTCTCTGCCTCGGCCGGGTGTCTCGGCGTTCGACTTCCGACTCTCCGTCGTTCTAGGGGCAGGGCGTTCTCTGCCTCGCCGGGTGTCTCGGCGTTCGACTTCCGACTCTCCGTCGTTCTAGGGGCAGGGTGTTCTCTGCCTCGGTCGGGTGTTCCCGGCGTTCGACTTCCGACTCTCCGTCGCTCTAGGGGCAGGGTGTTCTCTGCCTCAGTCGGGTGTTCCCGGCGTTCGACTTCCGATACCCCCTTGCACGAGAGAAGTCTCTCACTGTCTTAGGACACAGCGTACCGGCAACCGTCGTCGACTCAGCAAGGCTCGGATATACGCGGTATCACTTATTTTTATTACTTTGCTCCGTACCGTACGAAACCGACCGATTAAATAATTTAGTTTGTTTAGATTTACACTGTTTATTCTCCGTTCACAATTAGAATTATACACATGACATACCGTCGAAACATTAACTCATCTAACCGATAAGGAATTATATTATTTACTGCCGATATTTATAACCGTTGAGATATTAGTCCGAAACCAAAATACTCATGTACTCGTTGTTACTATTTTTCTTTTATATTATTGATCCAAGTGCTCTCATAAAATAAATATTTATTTTCTTTAAGTCATTTCTGTTAATTTGGAGTCTCCCGATAAACCACACGAACGAATTCTGGCAAACTGACGAGTTATTCCGCGTCGTAAGAATCCGCTTCGCTAAACTACACACCGTCGTAATTCCGCATCGAAAATCCGCATACCGTCGAAAATTCCGCATCATTACGCACCGCCCGTGAGGCGTAAAAATACGCACTGTTACAACTTAAACAATTCTAAACAAGCTAAAAATGATTTGTCGCACTTTTCCTTTTGCACGGAGAAAGTTCCGAGGCCCTCACACGACATACAAAAAAGACCGATTCGATACATGCGTCGGAAGACACCCTTATACCCGAAAAATCACTTAAACCATTCTAGCCAAGCTAAAAATGACTTGTCGCTCTATTTCTTTTGCACGGAGAAAGTTCCGAGGCCCTCACACGACATTCGTATAACTACGTATAATGTATGCTATACGAA